GGTCTAGGAAGAGGCCACCAGGGGCAAGGGTGCAGAGGAAGGAAAGCTTGGGAGTGGAGGGAGACCGGGTCTCTGGCCCCCTGGAGCTCACAAATGACCAAAGCAGGAAGGGAGCAGATACCCAGTACCTGAGGACAGTGTCCCAGGCTGTGGGAAGTGCGTGCTTCCGCCAGGAGACAGCATGTGTGTTCATGATCTTCTGCTCTAAAAATGCAAACTAGACACTCACTTTTTAGTACACAACAGCTAAGACTGGGCAATAATTTTTTTAAAGTTTACAGAGTTTCAAGATCTACAGAAGAGCCATTTTGTGGTGAAGATTAAGTCTGTTAAAGCTTCTCTGCTTGCTACAGTGTCTAATACTAACCAATTGGCAAGTTTTTCTATAATCAAAAGGAAAACATTTACAAGCTGGCTGAGAGCCTCTGGCAAAAGCACGTTCCCTTCCCTCTGCCCTCACTACCCCCCCAACCCCCCATTCTGACTGAGGGTTCTCTTCTTCTATTTTTTACTGCATTCCTGATATACTGATTCCAAATCCTCCCACATTTTAAGAGAAAGTTAAAAAATGTCTCAATAAAATAAAAACAAAACTCACAAACACACATAGAAGCATCAGCCAGCAGCTCTGTTGACTCAAAGGTACTATGGCCATGGCCTTTGAGCTCCTTGAGGGCCCGGCCATGCCACCCAGCATCACACCAGCACCTGGCACCTGTGCTGCAAGTGCTGGCCAAGTCACAGATGTGCACAGGCACAAGACCCGCCACTCTCCAGCACACTATGCAGTCACCATGATATGTCTCGTGCGAGCTTGGGCACTGGCACGCAGCTGAGGCAGTGCCTTCAAACCGTCTTATCTTGGTGCTCAGGTCTGCTCAGAGTGCCGAGCTCTATAACGCACTGGGAGTTCAGGGGGTTTCAGAGCACAAAGGGCCTTGGGAGAACTTTTCAGAAGCGTGGCAGCCAGGCCCCCAGAGGGCAGCTCTCTCCAGCACCCGCACCCGTTCTGTGGTGCTTGAGGACATCGCGTGTGTGAGCCCAGAAACTGGTGAGACAAAAGTGGTCTCTAACACACAGTAGGACTTGAACCTCGTGAAACCCAAGCACAAAGGCTCAGCACTAGGGGCAGGGAGCTAGTAGCAGGCTCTGGCTGCAGAACTGGACCCTAACTCTGAGCTCAGGGAATTGCACTTACATGTCATACACTCAACACCATTTCATGGTTTTTTGGCGGATGGGGAGCCAGACGAAGTTTTAAAAGATCATCCAAAAGCAAACCAGTAAGTATTAAAAAAAAAAAAAAAAAAAAAAAAAAAAGAAGGGGACAAGGTGGGAAGAGCAGGCACCCAGAGGTTACAAAACCCACAATGCCACAGTAACTGCCAGTCACAGACTGGTCAAGCACACTCCAGACCAATGGGAAGAAAGAGCCCAGATTATTGCAGCGCAGCTCCAGAACAAGACAGGTGTCACGAGATGTCAGTGACAGGGGTCGATTGATAAGTGCTGTAGGGACAGTGCATTTGCCATTTAGGAAAAAGGTACATTTATTTACTTACCTCCCACCACAACAATAAATTCCAGATAAATTAAGAGATAAAACTTAGAAGAAAATACAGGTGAGTATTTGATCTCTAGCTGAAAAGATCCCAGAGAAAAGATGGTCACACTCGATCATGATGAATACTGCAGCCGCATAATTACCTCTAACGCAGCCACTGTTTTTTTTCTGATGTTTCAGAGGTCCAGGAATGACCTGATGCCTAACCAAGACCATGGTGTAGCACTCCCGCTGACAAAATTCTGAATTATCGCTTCTTTCCTGTTCGCCTGGGGACTTGCTGCAGACATGCCCATCTCCCAGTGACCCACAGTGTGGACCTTGTATGAGGAGGCTGGGGAGCTGCAAGGGGCCCAGTGTCCCCACAAGCCTGGACTCCTCAGGCGCTCCTGCTGTGCACACCAGGGCCTTCTGTCCACAGTCCCTGCACTCTCGCCAGCCACTGTCCCACCTCTCAGGAACACCTCAACTCATTACCCTGCACCGCACACGCGAAAACCTGCTTTACACGCTGGTTCTTACTTTGACCACACAGTTGGAGGACGGTGACCAACTTTCCACAGGCAAACTCTAATTGTTCTAAACATTTACGTACATGTTGATGAAATGAAATTCAGAACGTGATTTTTCCTCCAAAACAACATTAATAATGGCAACTAGGCCTGGAGCTGAGGTACAAAGGCCAAAGGAGCCTTAAATGAGATGGAAACACTGTGTTCACAATAACAAAAAATGACCAGTCTGGTTACATTAAACAAAACAGAAAAAACCCAGTAAAACTGAGAGAGAAAAAGTCTTTTATTTGTCTTGAATACTGTACTGAGGAAAAGCAGGCTGAAGTGGAGGCAGCTGAGGAGGGCAGGAACCTCTGTGGGCACGCGTCTCTCGTGCGCGTCAGCAAGGAGAGCTGGGGAGGGTGGGGAGCCTGCGCCCCCAGGGGAGGAGGGGCCAGTGGAGAGCAGAGCCAGCTGGCCCTGTGGCCCTGAGGGCTGGGAAGTGGGGGCTGAGGCAGCTGGAGGTGGGGCAGGAAGTTCAGTGGCCAGGAGGGGCAGGGGGACGGACGGCTACCCTTTGTAGTACAGGGGCGTTTATGAGCAGGTAGCGTTTGCTTTTTTCAAATCTTCCCAAATGCCTACATCGCACAGTGGACATGCAGTGAATGCTGCCCCTGTGAGGGGACCTGTGGACACCTGAGCTAAAATCCCACACATGGCCATAGCGCTAAGTGTCAGCCCTTCAACACACACGTGGGGGCAGAGGGCCAACTAGCACACATCTCGTGCCCTTTTCCAGATAAGGAGAAGTCCCGCAGTTATCAGGATGGAGAGATCTCTATAATAAACCTCTCCAGGCAGTGAGTCTACCCAAGACCAGCCCTGGAGGTAAGTGTGTGCTGGCCAGCCAGCTGCCTGCCCTGGCACCCTGCTGCCTGCCCTGACGCCCCTCCGCCCATACCCTCAGGACAGACCGACGGACGTCTTACATTGTTCTCCAGGCCCTCGATGACCTCGATGCCGTTGTGGCTGAGGTACAGCTCCCGCAGGTTCACCAGGCTCTGTAGACCCTCAATCTTGGTCAGCCGGTTGCTCTGCAAGAGGGAGAGCCGACAGCCATCAGAACAACACAGAGGGTGAGAAATAAAATAGCTCCTAAAAAATGAGGTTTCTTATTATCTTGAAGAATTCTTTAAGCATCTAATTTAAAATATGCTAGAATGGGACTTGTGTAGAGACAAAGAGGATCAAAATCTTCAGTCTGTTGTACTGGACTAAAAGTCATGCATGGGAGTTAAAAGTTTTTTATGTAAAGAACTCATTTTTTTTTAGATGTACTTGGGGATGTTTACCTGAATTAATTTAATAATTTCAAAATGTCAAAATTACTGAATATTAAAATAAATCAGTTACCATTTCTTTTAGTATATATTACAACTCATATTAGACCTTAAGAACTTTTTTAGAGAACATCTGCTTTATAACTGGCAACTGTGGTTCCACTAAGCTGCTTCTGACAGAAAAGGTAAGCAGGAGCCTCAGCGCACTCTGGCGTGCACCTGTCCCAGGCACGGAGGCCCAGTGGGGCTTCTGCTCTCTGTGAGGGGACGGAGGAGGTGCTCCTGTCATTGAGCCAGACGGTGCAGGAGGATTCAGGACAAGCTCAACCTTCTGCAGTCAAATGCTCTACCACTGAGCTATACCCCCTCTCAAGCTCAACCTTCTGAACAAGTCCCTTATGACAAAAAACCACCTAGGACTGGTACTGGGTAAGGAACATGACCCCTAAAGAATAAAATTTTAGTTTGGTGTGTGTGTGTGTGTATGAAGTCTGTTTAATCTAATGTTTCAGTCACTTACTGACAATGAAACGAAGTGCTGATCATGATGTAGTAAAAGATAAAAACCATGGCTGTGTTTAGCAGCTCTGGCCCTGTTGGGGTTTGGGGGAGTGGGAAGCTCAGGAGTAGTGATACCTGCATACTGAGGACTGTCAGGTTGGTAAGTGCATCCAGGTTCTGAAGTTTAGTAATCTTGTTTTTTCCCAAAAACAAACTCTCCAGACTGGTTAATGTGTCAATATTTTCAATCGCCTGTGAAGACGACAGAATAGTAGTTAGTACTGCATAGCCAATGAGCTACACCAGGTAAAGGAGATGCCTGGACCAGGAGACAAAGCTACCTGGATTTTATTTTTATTTATTTATTTATTTATTTATTTATCCTTTTTGTCTTTCGTGACTGGCACGGGATCGCAACCCTCGGTGTCGCGCCCGCACCGCGCTCAACCAGTGAGCGGACCGGTCTCTATATGGGATCTGAACCCTCGGTGGGAGTGCCACCGCGCTCCCAAGCGCCGCACTCTACCGAGTGCGCCACCGGGCCGGCCCATTGGATTTTAGCTCTGTGATGATGGGCATGTTACTTATCTGCTATGAAAATCTCCCAGTGAAATCTTACTTGAGAGTACAGTATGAAAAAACAGAAAAATGCAGGAGGGCCTGAGGCCCTGCCTCTTGGGCTTGCTCCCAACGCTCATGTTTGCAAAGCTCTGCAATTCTGGGGAACACAGTTTGAGAGCCCAGGGGTTAGCAGATTTCTAAAGTCCCTTCCAGTTCTAAACTTCTGAGCTGACAAGTTATTATGTTATTCTACATAATGCACATTAAAGTGCCCCAAGAGCCTCGCTCTCTACAGAAGACAGACGCTGGAAGCTCTGACCCCAGGTCTTTAAAATGCTCACTTGGGATTCCTGGGGCAAGTGCCTCATTCCGTGGCTCTCTGCCCCTCTTGCCCAGTTTCCAAACCTTCCCTCATTGCTTCTCTTTGCTGATCGTGTGTTCCTCTACTCAACCGTGAGCCACCACAGGTGGTACATGCCGTCTCGTCTGGTCTCCTCATGGTGCCTTGTGAATAGCAGGTGGCTTAATAACTGTTTACTGGCTTGACTTCAGTTTCCCTCCCGTTAGTGACTGACCATGGCCTGGGTTAGGATCATGATGGAGGCGACTAAAATCTATGTGCAGAGAAAAGGCTCGGCCCCTCAGTTTGGGCGCATATTCTAACTGACTTCCTGTTAGCATTTTTCTTAAAAAAATAATTTCCCTGTTCCTGAAAAAAAAATCATAGCACCATAAAAAAAATAAAGCCAACCACACATCCTCCGCGCATCACTGTTCAGTCTACATGTCTCTCCCTGAGTGGACGCTAGTTAGTGCCGTCTGCACCTACCCGGATGCGATTAGATCCCAGCTCTAGCATCTGCAGTTGATGTAAGTTGCTTATGTTCTCAATTTTACTGATTTTATTGTTGACCAAGAAGAGTTTTTTCAGTTGCGTCAACTTGTCAATTCCTTCAATGTTTCTCAGAAGATTAAAAGAAATATCTAGAATCCTGGGAACAAGCAAAATACATTTTTTTAAATGAGCACAGGTTGCACATATCTCAGAATTTAACTAACTTCCCAGGCTCTGCACACAGAAGGGACCCCGTTAACGCTGAATTGCAAACAAAACTAAAATGAACACACAACAAAGGGCAGAAGTCTGGGTAAAGTTATACTTAGGACCTGATTCCTTAAATTAGAAACATCATTCATTCCTTGATTAAAAAAAAAAAAAACGTATTCAAAGGGCAAAAAAAGGAAATTTCAGGTTAACTTTCCCCTCTCCCTGATTTCGACATTATCCTTGAATGGACACTTGCTACAAGTCCCCACTTCCAATCAAAGGTTAACTTCGCAAGTCAAGACTGTCCAACACACAATGATACGCATGAAGCTGACATGCCCTCTGGAGCCCCAAACACAGGCAGACAGAGACCTGGGAGCCAGGTGTGGGGCAGGACCCCGCGGCAGAGGTGGCCTTCTAAGGGCCAAGAGCCGGGGTTGGTTCTGGGAAGACTGGACGCCCCCCACCCCCCTCCCCTACCTATCCCAGTCTTCTCTGGGTCTCATGACTCACTCCAACTCTGTCAGCGCCTCCAGATTCTCAATCTTCTTGATCTGGTTGTCATAAAGATCCAGCTCTCGAAGACTCTGTAGCTCCTCCAGGTTCTCAATGCATTTAATTAAATTTTGACGGAGGCACAGAGTCTGGGGGACAAGAAAAGGATTGATAAAGGCAGCAGAAAGGCCACAGAAAGTGTCAGCTGTGACACCGGAGGACACGTGACAAGCCCTCCTTGTGGCAGGATGTGTCTTCATTCTCCCGTTTTCCCGAAGATGCCAAACTTAGAGAGGCAGGTGGGCAAAGGTGCTGAGCTGGCCCTACCCCACCCACCCGAGGTCACGCCGCTGGAGGCAGGCCCCATGCCCAGCAGGCCTACTAGGGGTGGTGGGGGGTGATCAGTCTGCGGTTGGGAGTGATGCCATTTCCTGGCAGAATGAAAGAACACTCAGTGGGCTCAGTTTTGAGGGACAAATTTAACTGAACCGAGTTAAGGGTTATAACATTTGGTGAGTGTTTAATTGAAGGCTGCATCTCTATCTGCCTGAGCTCAGGCAAGCCAGCTCCAGGAGGGCTGCCACCCACGCTCCTTGACTGCTTCATAACATCTGCCATGATCAGAACAAAGACAGATCTTTGATGAGGTCTAGATATAGGCCAGCACCTTCCACGGGATGGGAACATGGACCATGGCAGCACAGGTCTCTTGGCTGTGGGTTTATCCACAGCTACTGAGTGTTGCAGAGTCACCTCATGGGAAAGGACAGAGTCCCTCTCACCTTCACTTTCTTCAGCACTTCAAACCCTTCGATTTTCCCAATGCGATAGTGATTGAGATCAACATCCTGAAACAAAGAAGGGATGTAGCTCAGCTATAGCAAAGGTCCTGAAGAGCTGTTTCCTAG